TCCATCTTAGATTTTTTTTTTTAAAAAAAGATAAACTAACACACCAGAGCATCCCACAGTTTTGGGGAAAGTTTAGCTCTGAGTATGAGGGCTTTCTCTGTTTGCCAACTAAGCTGAGCTCTGCAGCTGCCTTTTTGCATATTGCCAAAATTTTTCTGAAGAAGAAACTTCTTCAGAAAATGGCCATGAGAAGACCATCAGTACTCTAAGAAAATCTACTCATGCTACTTTTTCATAGTGAAACAACAGAAGAGCAAACATTTAGGCCAATATAATGAAATATGGGTGCAAATATGTGGGTTTGCTTGGTGTCGGGGGTTATTTGGGTTTTTGTTTTTTAGTTTGTTCCTGATAAAGTAACTGGTACAACTGTTTACCTGGTTCACGAATACCAAAATCTAGTCTTTTGCAAACTTAAGGGCTATTTAAAAAAACCTGTACTTTCATCCAGCTGTAGGTTGGATTAGCACCTTGGAATCCAGTTACTGTCGAGCTGGGTGCTGTGATCAAGCTTGACAAAGTCATGTTAAGGGTAAAGAGAAGACTGGTTTCCTATATAATCCCCTTTTTTAATCACATTGCCACCCTAAAGCTCCCAGCTGTTCTAAAATTTCAGTCCTGCTATTTGAACATCCCCCATGGCTGTAGATGCCAGCAATGTCCTGTTAGCTCTAAATAACAACAACAAAAAGTCTAATCAACATTGGGTGTATTTTTTAATGCAAACTTAGCAGAGTACTTCAATGCCTACTGTAGGATCTGGTAGCCCTCCTTGCATAGTAATTGCTTATTTACATGTAAATGTGTGTGGGCAAATGGCCAAGCACCAAGGGCCCATTCCAATGAGGGAGGGAGGTGTGAGTGGGGACCGGACATCAAGTGTAGACTTGGCAGTTGCCAGGTTGTGAAGTGTCCATGGCACTTACACAAGGAGTTAACAATTCCTGCTTGATATCCCCTGAATGAAAACATGGCCTCTTTCCTTTTTTCCTTTGCTAAATGGTATTTCTTCAGTTTGTCATACACTTCAAATATACATTGCAAACAATTAATTGAATTAAATTTGGTCTTTCTATAAAAATTCTACCCTCAAATAATTAACTTTAACTTCCACCCTTAAATAATTAATAAGTAACTATATTTAAATAATATAACGTTGCATATCATTCTCGGAGCAGCGTTTTGTGTTTTCTTCAAAACAATGACATTATTTAGACATCTGGAGAAAACTTCATAGACAAGAAATTTTCACATTCACCACCTGTGCCACTCCACCAAACTGAGGTCCTTATTCATGCTGCATTTGTGGGAGTGCTTCTGGCATCTAACTGTGTGGCTCACACTATTCAGGTTGATCAGTTTATGATGTAACAGGACAATCTGTATTCCTTGTTAGCATTTTACAATTTGCCAGTGTCAGCAGTTTCACTTCATGCTAAACTTTGCCATTTCACATATTGCCTTTGTTCTGAATCAATTTTAAAAGATTTTAAGTGAAGTAAACATTTTATGGAAATATTTTTTTTACCATAGTTTGAAGCACTCCAGAAGTAGTTGCATATCACAAGGACATAATATACCGTCTCAAATCATGTCCTAGCAGGACATGTGATGTCATTCTTACTACTGCAACTTACTTACTAAGAAGATAAGCAGTTAACAATATCTCTGTATGCATTCTGAATATTAAAATGAATTGTTCCTCTTATTGGCACAGTGAGGCCTGAGTTTTCCATATTCAAAGTATAAATCAAATTAAGACATAAATATATTTCTCTTTTTGGATTTAAAATTCTCATCAGCATTAAATGAATGAAAAGATGACAAATATATCTCAGAGAAGACCCCAGTATTATAAATGAGGAATTTTATATATATGTGCTGTCATATGTATTTCTTTATTCCTGGTAGAATCTTGCTGCATGTTTGCTTACTGCTTCATGCCTTCATTTAATAAATAATAATGTAAAAAGTCTTAACTTGAAGGAATTTGTTTGATCTTTCTAAAAAGAGAATTATTTGAGAATTTTCAGTAATTTGAAAAATTATCTGTTCTAATGATATCTAATTAATAAGTGGACTAGAGTCTGTTAAAGACTCATGGTACTCAGAGGATTGCTTTTATTTTTATGAGAAAGACACAATATAAAGGCTATGATTGAATTGCAAGAGTAATGGTAGCTGTATTAACCCAGTAAGAATTTATTACTGTACCAGAACAAACACATCAACAGATTTTACGCTACTAATGTAACACTGCAGTCAAAATCTGTACTTAAGCTCCAACTGTACCAATGAAAGTTAGGCATGGGTACAGAAAACTAACAAGAAAATTAAGAGATCTAGAGGCACCACATTATGAGAATAGCTCATAGAAACTACTCTGATATAATAAGTGGTAAGTTAGTTGGTAAATATTTGTCAAGCATGTTATTAAAACAGGAAATTATTTTTTGAACAAAATGACTTTGTAAACCTGCCAAGTAAGGAAGAAAAGAAGAGGAATAATAAATAGATGGAGTAATTATTAACATGACTTATCTCACTTTTCTTAGACAGTTTCCCATGAAAGATGATGAACTGGGGGCTGCAGTAGAATATATTACATACATATATTACTGCAGCTCTTCCATATTGCAGTGGAAGAAGATGGAGACCTGCAGAATTTCACAAAGGCTGAATTTCTGAAGCTCTTGGGAAAAGATTCATACTGTTCTCCAGAGCAACCCCATAAGCTTAAGTAACCCAGGGAGGAAATGTAGTTTCCTTGGTTGTCATGAATGGACAATGCACATCCACTTGTCATTATTTTTCTTAAATAATAGGGTATTTCTATTACAGTTTCATCATAGTTTTTATCAAAATTTGATTTTTTCATCTTAACATGATTGAATGCATTCTTAGTGTAAATAAAAATGCTGAGAAGTTTATACAATGAATTAAATGTAATTGTATGCTACCCATTTTCCTGGATTACTCTGCTGTAAGACTTGATTTTTTTCCATATTTAAGAAGCAAAGAAGCTTCCAACTTCTCCTTTGCACAGAAAATTTGCATGACCACGTCCATCCCACTGGGAAAATAAATGTAATGTTGAGTTTGATTCATGTGATTTGTCAATATAATTAAAATAAATTGAGTCATTATGACTTTTTGGATGTGTGTTGGGACTGCGGCCAACACAAGACATGACCAGCACTGTAAACGATCTCTGTGGCCTGGAAGCTGAAATTCCAATTTTAGCAATTCTGGCCTGACCCAAAAGGCATTTTGCCTCCTTAGGGGAGATAAGAATTATGTTACTGTGCTTCATGAATTTTTTTATAGGGTGAGAACCATTTAGGCAGCAACCCTTGTGGACAGCAGAATGAAGGATAGTAAAACTGATGCTATGCCACTTGGTCAGTGTCAAATACGATGTGCTCGCCTTGGAAGTGCTGTAGAAAGTTCTACACTGGCCATCATCTGATTGCCATGTCAGGCTTAATGACATCTTTGTTTGTTTTCCTCTTACTTAAAGGTAGTGTTGCTTTGCGGTTGGTTTATGACACCATGCCTCAGGCAGCAGAGTGGCACCAAGGAACTGCAGCACTGGTGGGGAAGGGCTTGGATGTGCCCTTTCCAAAGAGGGAGTGCTGCGGGACAGCAGAGTGTCCTGAGAGCTGGGACTCTACGGGGGAGCTCAGCTTTGATTAGTGCTTTGATAACATAAATGGTTTTGTCCATAGACCACTGTTGTGTCAACCATGACAGGATTTAAACTCTACACTAAACTTCTGTTGCTGCTCATCTTTTCCCACTATTTTCATTGGCAGGTGTGTCAGAAGTTGTGGCAAAGGGAAATTTTAAAGAATAGCAAAATTTGACAGGATTTGGGGGTGTTACAGGGATGTTACAGGGCCTGTGCATTTTCTTAATGAACAAGATATTTTAAAAAATTCAAGAAAGTGTGAGAGTATTTTCTTTTATTTTCTGCTCCTTTTGCTCTAGCTCAGAAGGCATTTTAGATTTGAACAGTCACTGTAACATAGCAGAGGTATCTGAACTTCTGAAAAGCAAAATACCCTTTGGAGAACAGGTTTTTTTTATGTCAATTCAAAGATAGGTTATTAAACTCTATGCTGTAACAATTACAGGCTTCAGAAAAGGAAAAAAAATAAAACATTTGAAAAGTTAAAAATTTGCTAAGCCACAGGTTTAGCGACAACTGTTGTTTGCTTTAATAATAGTGAAATGTAGGCTGCTGCATCACTTGTGATGGGCAATTTCATTGTTATACAGATACAAACCATGGCAGGATTCAAACCTTCCTGAGACATGCTACGACATATGTATGACTACTGTTCTCAGCTGTAATTTCTATTTGCTCTTTATCTTGTGACTGTGAAAATACATTGAAGGCAGGCACTGCAGTCAGCTACAGTGATCTTTTTCTACTGGAATGTTGTATGTCCATCAGTATATCATAAATGCCTTACCATATTACTCCCATGTCAGTTTATTAAAGGGTAGAGGGTAACTCTGAAAAGCAGAATAGGGAAATTTAATGTTTTGTTTGGCTTTTGCCATAATAGGATCTAATATTTACGTGTTGTGTGTTGCAGTTATTCTTCACTTCTTTCTTCTGCTAATGTCAGAAAAAATATAAGCAGTAACCAGGGGGTTAAATTCCCACTCAACAGGCATAATTTTGGCTTTTGTAAGGGAGCTGTGAGTGGAGCTCAGCGCTTTGCTCAGCGGAGGGCAGCGTTTCGTGACAGAACCGAGCGTCCAAGGGAAACGTGGCTGGCAGCAGACATACGTGAAGGGAACGAGACGCTGTACCAGCTCTTCCAGTTTCACAGGGACCTCGCGTTTTCCAGCTGTTTACCCTTGAGATGTAAAATGGCAATTTGGCATAGGCTAACAGCCCGGTGTGATGTGAGCATCTGCGTAAAAGGCTGCACATATGGAGCATGCCCAGTGGTATGAACAGCCTGTTACCCCACCCCCAGCCAATCTAGGAAGAGATGAAATGAACTTTGCACTTGCAAATGTCACTGAATACATTTTGAACAGGATTTTAAAAGGTTCTCTTACAAGCACTATTTTTAACAGCCAAATCCGCCCCCCAAAACAGAAAGGAAAAAGCCCTAGGTATTTTTCTGTCATCGATCTGAGTTTCTGATCAGCTGAAGCATCTCTCACAATATTTACCTGAAGCCGGTTTTATTTTATGTTTTTATCATTCAAGTTGAGATTTTTGGAGGTGGTGTGGATTTTTTTGGGAATGAATTTTTTTTTTTTCTCAAATGAAAAAATTTGAGAATTTAATTGCACTAGAATACTTGGAAACAGTGAGGCTGGAAGCTTGAAAGGCAGAGGGAAGAGAAGGAAGGCTCTCACAGCAGAGCATGGATAGGAAAGGAGCTGTGATTCTGCAGTGCTCAGTGTGCACATGTTTTATGAGATCAGTGCCGGGCGCTGCAGCTGCGGACAGTAACTGAGCTGTCTGGCTAATGAAGGCCACCTGGATCAGGCTTCTGAAAAGAGCCAAAGGAGGACGTCTGAAGAATTCTGATATCTGTGTAAGCCCTGCATTTTCCTTATCAGCTTATACTGTATGTATTGCAGAGACGGAGAGAAAAAAGGCGGTGAGGAGAGGACAGTTGTTTTCATTCTGATTGAATTAGCAGAACTCTATTCTGTATGCAGGGAGATGCAGACAGAAAGCAGAGCTGTCATTATTTATAGAGCTGTTCTGGCATTGTGGCTGCTTCCATTGTGGCGATATGGGGACATGTGTTGAGTCCAGACGGATTTTATTAGTTGGAAGTTGATTTGTGGTCATTTGCATGTTTTGCTGAGGGGCAGAGATGGATATGAGCCATTTGCAGTTCTGATGGGGAAAGTGTGTCAGGTAAAAAGGCTGCCCTAAAATAAAAATGCATAGCAAAGGTTAAATCTCTTAGCAGTGATATTGTGTAATGGTAATTGTTGATACTAAATTTGCATTTTGATTATAAAAAGTCTGTTAGCTTGCTATTTCTGTCTCTGTTTAGAGTTTTCATTTTTGTGGAGCCATCCTTGAAGCTGCTGTGTGTCCTTCAGCCCTGCACTGCACCAGTGCTGTAACTCTACAGAGCAACTGGCTCTGCTTGCTGAAAAGCACACAAATAAGAGTGCAAGGATAGTGCAGGAAACAAAACACTGGGGAAGACACCTGCAATTTTGGAAAGTTTCCAGAAGAAAATATTAACCTAGGCATAATTTCTTCTAAGTGACTTTCCCTTTGGACAGTTACTCTGTTTTCACGGATACAGAAGTAAGAAAAAAGGCAAAGTGTATAGCCACTTCCACTTTTTTGTTGCTGTTGTTTTTTAAACATCAAAGGAACTTGTGACATTTTTTTTCTTTTTCATGTGCAGGGTTCGGCGGACTCCTACACCAGCCGTCCATCTGATTCAGATGTATCTCTGGAAGAAGATAGGGAAGCAGTGCGGAGAGAGGCAGAGCGACAGGCCCAGGCACAGCTTGAAAAAGCAAAGGTAAGTTGTTACTTCCAGTCACAAACTCATAAAACACTCAACTTTAGAGTGGGGGTTGGAATTAGAGGATCTTTAAGGTCCCTTCCAACTCAGACCATGCTATGATTCTTTGACTGTCATCTCATCTGTTACTGATAAAATGTTTTTAATATGCTCACATATAGATTAGACCTCTTATAAACATACTCCAGACAGCAGGTGAAAATATATGTTCCATGAAAAATCACTTGAAATAAGTTTTCCATAAAAGGCATTTGATTGACTTGTGTATTTCAGAACATTCTTATTTAAATGTGTGCATTTATTCTTTTATTAAATATAAGCATTTATTGCAGTGTATAGGGTCAAAGCCACAAGTTTTTACTGAAGATGTTTGTGAAAGTTTGCCTATGGATTGCTATGGTACTCAAAGCTTGCAGTTCCAAAAATCAGCCCTCAAACATTGTGTTCATCTCCCTTCAATGAAAGATCAGTCCCTACAAATCATATGTAAATTGGGAGAATCTGTTACAAGGATGTTTTTTTCCTGAAGACTTCATTGACTTTCTTTACACTTTGTCTGTTAAATGACCCCATGAGTAATATGCTGTAGGTCTTAAGATTTCTCCTACCTCCATACTCCTGCCAAATAGTGACAATTTAGTAAGAAAACACTAGATAAGCTTTAAGTTTTTGATGTGTGTTTATGTATTTTCCATGAGATGCATTTAGGAATGTGAAGGTTTTAGCAGTGGAAGTCAACAGGCTTTTTTTTCTTTCATCCGTGCTGTATCTTTAAATACTACTGCACCTGTGAAAATTGTGCTCATCTTAATTGTTATCATTCATTTATCACTTCATTCCAGTTTTAGTTTTTTTGTAAGCTACCTGCAGATTTCAGTGTATTACTGTTTTCCAAAATCTGTTTTTCTTTCTAATATCTCATATTTAAATACACTGTTGAGATCCTTCCTCAGATCTACCTGATCTGCATTCTCTCTTTCTCTCTAACTCTCCTCCTCCATTTTGCCTTGTTTTTTTATTTCTCTATCTCCCTTCCATCTCCCATTCCATTTAATTTTCCACTGTTAGCTTTCCCTCTACCCATTTAGGCCACCTGTTTTACAAGAGTTCTTCAGAAATCCGTTGAGTCCAGATCACTGAGCTATGCAGCTGATTCTGTGGCAGGGACTAGCTCTGTAAATAATACAGGACTATAATATACAAGCAGACATCTTCATTGGGCCAGAAAACCTGAATAGGGAAGCCAAAAATGTTTTTTTGAAAATGTAGTTGTTAACTGATATTTATTAAGAGCTCCTAAAGCAGCTTTTTAATGAGCTGCTGGAATGTGCCAACTGTAAGAGATGCTGAACATCTCTTTGAAGTTGGGTCTTGCGGTCCTGGGATCAGTATAGCAGAAACTCAACAGAAGCAGTCTGCTTTTTCCCTTCAGCCTTGTATCTCAGAAATGTTGCTGATTCTATCAGGAGTTTCAGTTTTATCAGGGCTAATTTTTGCTGGTTTGAGATTTCTTTGCTCTGAGAAAGGTGATAAAAGCTGCCCTGAAATTCAGGTGAAGTGTTGAATTTTATCAGTAAATGCATGATCTTTAAAAGAAGAGTTGAAGTAATAGTATCTTGCGGATTAATCGGGGTAGCAGTGCAGTGCTTACTGCTGAACTGATGCATCTCTTAGCGATGAGTAAATCTATGTGTGTTGCTATGGGAATTTGGCTTACTGATGCTGGCTTGAATGCATGGACAGCCCTTATGTAATATTCATGACCTCTAGCACAGCTGCCATTGTAGTTTGTAGAGAAACTGCTAGCAGACCCTGACTTTTAAAAGCTGCATTTCTATACATCAAACCAATGTTCCCACTCCAGTTGGCATAAGATGTAGTCTCTAGGTCTGACACCGTCTGAAACTGCAAGACAACTTGTGAACAGTCAAAGTAGTAAAGGCGCTGGCAAAATCAACCTGCTATAACAATGGGTTATTCCAGTCACAGAAAACAGAAAACACAAAATTAGTTGTTTAAATCATTTGTGCTTAAAATGGAATAAGGTTGTAATTACACTAGCATTTTTGTTTCTCTAGTCAAATGTTGAAAGTCATTCCAGGTTGTAATGTATGGAAATAATTTTATTTAGAGGCTGTAGCAGTGTAATACTTAGTCTAGCATAATATTTAAATTAATACTATTAAATAAAATATTATCTACAATTGGTGCTTATGTTTGAAATAAATGTTTAAAAATATGTTTAAATTAAACCTAACGCCATAGATCTAAAATATGACAGGGTGTGTTTTTCTGTCTTCATTGATGTTTCAGTTCTTCACCTCCCTGAAACACAGTAAAATTAATAAAGCAGTAGCTGCTGGTGGTGCTGCCTGGCTCCTGTCAGTCCCCAGATCTATTTTCTGCAGGCAGCAGGTTTTGCTGCCTGTTCCCCACAGCTGCCTTGCCTTTGCCCTGACCGACTTCCAGGCAAAGTGACACAGCTGCTTTAACTTTTTGCCTTTTCGCATTGTGAGTGGAAGTGTTGATCCTAAATAAAATCATTACAATTATATTTGTCACAGGAATTAGAACAGGATGACACACAGGAATAATGCAGTGGTGGAGGAAAGATGATGGTGAACTAAGGGGGGAGAAAAAAACCTACTGAACTCTGTCACGGACTTAATGAAAATAGTTTAATGACATCCATTTTCCATCCTTACAGCTAAGGGAAAACACCTTAAACTGAAGACAAAAATATAGTGATAAAACAGACAGTGGCAAATTTTTAGGATGATTTTTAGATTTTTAAATTGGGTTTTTATAGAGTCTAAGTGTTTGTGTGCCATGAAACCGGAATGTAATGTGCATCTCTGCATTTTCCCAAAGAGAACAAAACCAAAAAAGCTTGTAAGGAAATACACATTCTGGCCACTTTTATTCATTTATGTAATAGAAGCATTGATTCTCTGGAATATGGTTAAGCATATTTTGCTGACTCACTTTGGCATGTGACTTACTGTAAGGAAGGTGGGGCCATGGGCGAATATTCAGAGTCGTCCAGGGACAGAAAATTAAGAGGCAACTGATGAGGCTACCTGCAGGCCAATATTTACTCCTGAGGGAAACAGATCTTCAAATGAAGCTGTTAAACCCAAACTGAGATGAAATGTTCTTTATTAAAACAGTTTAGGAATAAAAATGCAGAAAGGTTGGATTTTTTTGGGTTTTTTGTTTGTTTCTTTGGGGGTTTTGCTGTTGTTTGCTTGTTTGTTTTATATTAAAAAAAAACATTTCAAGGCATCAAGGATTTCTTTGGTATCCTCCTCGCAGACCATAGGATGTGGCTGCATTGAGGATAAAGAGAGAGGAGCTGTGTTGTGGCTGAATAGGGCATGGTAACATCACAAAATCTAAAGGCTTGTACTGATATTTTACTGAATTTCCTATTTCCACAAAAACATGAATCTTAAGCATTCACAAGCCAGAAAATAATGATATTAATTGTGTTTAGTGTTAATTGGTTAAAAAAATTGTCATTTCTACAGAGAAATAGTTTTGAAGGGTGAAGATTCAAGAAAAATTATAGTAAGTAGAGGGGATTTTTTTGGTCCATTCCTTGCAAGTATTCAATTAATTATCCCTTAAAATATTGCACCAAGTGAGAGGGATCAAAGGGAAACTGAAGTACAAGTTTTAATGAGACCTTTAAATTCAGTGCTAATTGAGTTAAAATTTGTACATAAGAAAGGGGACTTCAGGAATTATTTTTGGTCCCCTCCAATGCTGGTAAAATCAATTCAGATATGCCATTGATTTCTTTTGCCTCAAGCACTTCAAATGTTGTGAACCTAGTTTTTGACTGAAATACAATTAGTCAGGCGGTCTGTAAGCCTTTTTTCTCTTCTGAAAAAAGTAGCTTCTTTCTTCCCTTCAATATCTTCAGATTTTTAAACTTTGCCTCTTTTTTCATCCCATGGCTTTAGAGCTCCTTATTTAGAGACAGTTTTGAGCTGAGATCTATAGAATATTTTCACCATTTTAGAAATTTTTTTTTCCATTATTTCTAGTACATTGGGTACTGAAAGTGCCAATTAATAATCCAGGTTCTGTTTCTCTGGGACTAAGGGACAGCTTTTTCTTCTCTGTTACAGATTGTTCTCAACATCCTTTGCTCCTGAAACTTCTTAAATGACTGTCAAAATCAGATTGTGGTCTTTTAGAAGTCATTAATTGTGTTCATAATAGGAAATCTCAATTCCTCTCAGCTCTTCTTTGTTTGCACTCCACCTAATGCTCCACTGCCAAGTGTCCTTTTAGGAGTTTGAAAAAATTTGAAATGCATGTAGCCATAGCTTAAAATGCCATTTAAATACTTTTTATGTTAACCACTGAATTTTAGATACCAGACATCTCTTTGCTGCCTCTTAGGCAATAATATAAGCTGTGGTGTTTTGCTTTTTTGGTGTGTGCTGTAGTAGTGGTGATGGCTTGTGACTGTGAGTAATAATGCAATATCCTAAGTGTCTCCATGCATGGGTTGGGAACCACAGCTTGAAAAGTGTAGCAGGATGAAGGCATGAAAAAGATTGTGAGATGTAATTATCCAGTGCAGTGTGCCAAGACTAGTTATTTGAGTATTTATTCACTCTCAGGCAGGTTTTACAGCCTCGAAATGACCCCATGCTGTTAGCAGGCAAGCTAGTTGAGGTATGTCTGCTGAAGCTGCAGTAGCATTTTTGACAGGCCAGAACTGCCCATCACCTTGATGTGTGTCCTTATATTATGTCAGCTTGTTCCATCATGGAGACTCTTTCTATTTTCTATCAATTATGAGAACATCATGATGCTGAACAGCACCCAAAGCTATAACAACATAGGATAATACTTTGTGTTAGCTGTTGTGTATGGTAATATTTTTTTCATTCATTTCTTCCCCTTTTTCCTTTTGTTTTAGAATACTTTAATTGCATGTTATCATTTAGGTCACTAATGTTGTGTGTCAAAGTTGCTGA